TTTTTTTTTTTTTTTTTTTTTTTTTTTTTTTTTTTTTTTTTTTTTTTTTTGAATTTAACATAATATTCTTAGCAGTTGCAACTAACATGTGAATGTAATGTAATAAAAATAAAAATATTTTTCTCACCGTTATACATTTTATCGTCGTCGTAGCCGTTAATTTAATATCCGTTAAGATGATAAAAATAAATAATATTCATAAATACCTCGTACCGCTAATAATAATTTAGATGCGAAATTAATTTTGTATAATTACATTATACGAAGGCTTCAAAAATATCAAAAAATATTATCCGTTTGGCACGTAAATATTAATGTTAAAATTTAATAAAATACCAATAATGATAAACATCTAAATGACGAGCTGAATAGAAGCTAATAAATTTGTCGACGATTAGCGCTTTTATTTTACATAAAATTTATGAAAGGAGTCCGATTAAGACATTACAATCTCGTGAAATAAATGTGACGACAATTATTCAGCGACGACAGACTAAAAATAGTAAAACATGAAATCGCTTGTTCCTCGATTAAATTAAAGAGAAAAAAAAACAGCTTGATTTAATAACTGTAATGGTACTACTGCAACTGTGTAGGTGTAAAATTTTTCTCCAATAGAGTAGTGAATAATCTTTGAGATAGAAAATTCTATGTGTATTATTTAATCCACCAAAGCTTTGTCAGAAAAGTTTTAGTGGCCGTGTCCAAAGGGAGCTTTACGTAATTCAACGGTGTTATTTCAAGCGTAAGACAACGTTAAATACAACTGACGACTAGTGATCTTTTTTATCGGATAACTATAAAATTATATACACTGGTTTAAATAAAACTTTTTTTTTTGACGACGGGCACGCGTGACAAGGACAACTCGGATAATAAAGCACGCAAATAATTATACAGTCGCGACGAATAATCATCCGTTTACTCGTATCAATGGTACATAGTAATTGTTGAAAATGACCAAATATTGATATCAATATATTTTCAAGATTTTCGTGTTAGGAGCACGTTGTCATCATTGCATTAGATGGAAATTGCAAAATCATTATCATTATCGCATCGGCAATTCAATCAAGAAATTAACATCAGTTGGAAGCATTTTAAGATGCTCAATACATGAATGTAAAGTGAAACTCGACTGCCATTCACTTGACATTTGTCGCGAAGATTATCGAGTCGTCTCTCTCTCTCTCTCTCTCTCTCTCTCTCTCTCTCTCTCTCTATGTGTGTGTGTGTGTGCGTGCTTGCGTATGGGGGCGGAGGTGTTAAAACGGCTTAACCGCTAATTACTAGCCGACAAACAATATGACGACGATTCCAATTGACACTCGCGCGAGGGAACAGCGATGTCGCCAATTTCCCGTGGAACTCGAATCTCTCGTTTATTTTGTAAAGCAAATCGATCGTCATAATCCGCGGTAAGACTCGAAGACCACAAGTCCCTCGATGGCTTAATCTATACACTTGACAAACACTACGTGACAAAAGTCTCGGGTCGAATCACCGAGAGTGGCACTCCTTTTCAATCAAAATACGAGGATGACGGGAAACGGTGAATAGTTGAGGATCGGGGGGTGGGGGTTGAGGCACTTGGAAGCTTTTACGATGCACTGATTCGCGGAGGGTTGGATTTTATCGCGCGAGTCGCATTGTGGGCTCGAGTGTCGAGTCGAGTCGTCGCTAACTATTCCCACAACATTAATAGTCCTGAAATAACTTTCCATGTCGTATGTGTACCGTCTATTATTATAATTACTCAATACTTTGTTGATGTACCGTTCATTTTCATCGCTAATAAATTCGCCATGTAAAATAGCCTATGCACGAAGTATTTGATTTTTGTTTCGTGATGGCCTCGCTGCATTGAAAAGTTCCATAAAATGTAATTGACCGAGTGTAGTAGATTCCGAGCTAATCCAGAAAGTTGTTTGCGAAGGGAAATTATATTAAAAGATACCAAAGATAAATCGATGGGCAGCATCGATTGACAGAGGTAAGGCGCATTTCGCCCAAACGCGATTCGTTGTCGCCCGCGGGAAAATCATTCGAGGAACGAGATATTCGACATAAAAATGAATCGCGGCTAAATAATCGTCGAGTCCGCGTCTTATTGTACGATAAGCAGAATCGAGCAGCAGCCAATAAAAGTGATATCGATAGGTAGAGAGGAAGGCGCACGCGAGTTAAGTCCCGATTTGGGTCGATTAAGCCTCGATGACGAGATCAAGCGCCCGGCTATCCGTCGCCCTGACCTGTATCGCTCGCGAAGGGCAAAATGTGGATGCGCCCGATTAATCGATCTGCTCGACATTGGTCCTAGGCGACATGTACAGTCGATGATTATCGGGATTTACCGTTTATTTAGGCGTAAGGAGCGATTAAGCGCTACGACGTGGCTATTACTTTTGCGTATTCGTGATGCCAATTGTCGATTGTGAGATTTTTTTACGTAACCGCGGCTGAATATTTTAGTATCGTGCACTATACGAGTAAGTAGCGCAGTAATATAGGACTGATTAATTAGAATAGCCGAGAAAATAAGAAAATAATTTGAAATTTAGGATACAATTGGAGAAATGTATTAGATGGGCCTGCGATAAGCGGAGTATTGGGTAAAATTTGCTTTATTTTTTATATTATTTTCGTGACAAGTACATTAAAAAAAAACCAATTAAAGTGATCTTGATGAAATATTTGAAAAAGAATTTTAAAAAGTATATCGCATGTTTGACGTTTAATAATTATAACAAGCCGATAAGAGATTAGCATGACAATAGCAATAAAAGATATTTTTATGTATTATTGAGATTGAATTATTCTGTATAAGAATATATATATACATATATATATATATATATATATATATATATATAAATTTATAAAAAATATAGCATGAATTTTAACAACGTTGAAGCGTATATGAATTTTATACTTTCATTTATAATCCTAATTATTTTCATTCTACAAAAGACTCGTATTGCTTTAACGTGTATTTTAATAAGTCAAGCAAGAATTTAATTGTTAATATTTTAAAGTTTTTTTTTTTTTTTTTTTTTTTTTATAAAGGTCAGAGTATAAATTACGCTAACTACGCTAATTAAACAGCGTAGGTAAAAATAAATGAAAGAAAAAATATTATTTTAATACAAATAGTTTTATTTTTAACGATAATAAGAATAGTTGATTTTCAGCGGTGAACTTTATTATTGATAAGTACAAAGACGCGTAGATTATGAGCAAACTTTTATGTAAATACAAATCTTGATATAAATAATCAATTATTTAAATATTAAATAACATATATATATATATATATATATATATGTGTGTGTGTGTGTATAGATAGTATAATACGTCGATTTTAAGACATTCGATCAAATGCTCATCAAGCCTTGAAAATTTCCGGAACACGAAAACCAGGACAGAAGAGAATAGAATGAAAAAAAATAAAAAATAAAAATATCTTTCTCCTTTACATAATTGTGCAATAATTACATCAAAGTACACGCAAATGTTACAAATATAAGTATTTATTTCTCTAACAATTTTAGGCCTTTTAACATTATTTATTAGTTTTAACTATCGATTTTTCAACAATTGACAATTATTGATTTGCTCGATACGATTCTTCAAACAGATATCAATACCATTCGTTTTCTTATTGTTCTTATTGGTCTGAGTATTGAAAAGTTATTTTGATAATGTAAATGATTAGTGACATTACATTTCATACGCAGTAGTTGTGGAAAGGCGGGCTGAAACGATCGTCTCTACCGACTTATTTAATCATTAACAAGTGAAGCTCGTACGTTTGCCTTGAATATTTCAGAAAATAAGCTGACAAACTCTTCGGCATTGATAAATCAATATTTAAAAAAATGTATTTAATAATACAATTTTACTTTACAATTTTTCTTTACAATTAAAGCTCAAGATTGTAGGCTCATAATAAATAGATGGAAATTATAGTTGAGCAATTTTCAGTATGAAAATCTAGTTGGAATCGGAGGATTAAAAAACTTTATCGATACATTTCAAGATAAACAAATGAAAACAAAAGTTTTAAATTCTTTGAAAACTTCAAGGGTCGTTCAAGCTGTTCCAAGCCAAGTGTATACACACGCGCGCACGCGCATATACATCAAATGTAACTAAACGGAAAGTATTAAAAGACTTTTCGTTATTTATTAAAACAAGACTATCGTTTCATTTAAAATTCAATGGACTTTTGTCGATAATATTTTTTCCAATATATTTTATCGATAAATCAATTGAATTTATAAATCAAGTCTAGAATGTATAAATAAATAATCTACAAAATACAATATAGAATATTCAACTTGTTAGCTAATAAACTGATGCGTTATTTAACCATTTGATAAATCCTTCCTATGTTTATTCAAAATTTAATACAACTTTACCATAAGTTCCCTCCAATCTCTAGCGCTCCCCTCTACATCTTGGACAATAATTCGAATCCTTCGGCTCTCGCGCTAAAGGATACAGAGTCACTACCACAATTATTGAATTTCTAAACAAATTTTCCACTCTCCCCTACGTATATCACTTACTATACAGATGAATTAAAGCGATTGCTAACTTCTGCGGGCATAATGAGCGCCACGCCAACTTAATGTCAAATCCAGCGTCCATACATACATAATCATCGTCACTTATTTCCTATCGCAGGCGATACATGGATTTGCCAAAATCGGCATGTGATAACGTCGCCAAAGAAGGTCTCGCAGCAGCCTCGGAATTATCACGACATCGACCACAACGACGGAGGTAATGAAGACGATGACAACGGCAACGGCAACGGCAACGGCAACGGCAACGGCAACGGCAACGGTGACGGCGACGATAACGACGACTAAGACAACGATGACGACAACCGCAAAGACGACGACGACGACGACGACGACGACGACGACGACGACGACGACGATGATGACGATGATGATGACGATGACTACAATGGCGACAACGACATCGGCGACGATAATGACAACGAAGGGGACGACGATGAGATCGACATCAGCGATAATGCCCAAGACAACGTCGAGCTTCCGCTCGTGCTTCTCCTCGTAGTTACGGCCCGTCTTCGTACTCGTTAGCCCGCGCACGGATCCACTCTAAATGACGATGAATCGATACATAACGCTCGATCAGCTAGGCGACGGCACCTTCGGTTCCGTCGTCCTCGGCGAGCGCATCGACACCGGCGAGAAGGTCGCCATCAAGCGCATGAAGCGCAAGTACTACTCGTGGGAGGAGGCGATGAACCTGCGTGAAGTCAAGTCCCTCAAGAAGCTCAGCCACGCGAACGTCGTCAAACTCAAGGAGGTCATACGCGAGAACGATGTCCTATACTTCGTGTTCGAGTACATGAAGGAGAACCTGTACCAGCTTATGAAGGACAGGTATGCCTCGGATTATCGAGCGGTGCATCCGCTTTTTATCATCGGTCTCTCCAGCCAGAACGTCGATTTCCTTACGGACGAGGTGAACTCGTAGGAGTGGCCTTAGGGCTCTTTTAACAAAACGGTTAACAAAACGCGTGTTTACTACATGAACTATTTACTTCATCTCCTCTCCCACTTCCTCAAATGCCATTGGCTTCGAAATACCTTATAATGTCAGCGAATGTCGTAGCTTTCCTTCTTAAATTGCCTTCCATCCAATCGATATCGCATTTATAAGGGCAAATTGTTTTTATGCACGCGGGGGGGGGGGGGGGGAATAACGATTAGCTGGGTAATATTTCTCATTAAATTGAACATAAATCACTGAAACTTTATATACAACAATACCAAATTAAATTTATAATACAAACTGATCGCGTAAATAAAATTTAACTCGATAGTGGCAAATAGGAACGCATTATTTGCGAGATCGAATGGATGAGGGAAGACGATAATGCTCTTAATGTACAAATTAAGTAATAAAATGTATATTTTCTCAATCCGTAGGGACAAATTGTTTCCCGAGCCAGTCATCAAGAACATGGTACATCAGGTTCTCCAGGGCTTGGCATTTATGCACAAACATGGCTTCTTTCATCGCGACATGAAGCCAGAAAACCTATTGTGCATGGGGCCGGAACTCATAAAAATTGCCGACTTTGGTTTAGCACGGGAAATCAGGTCGAGACCACCATATACGGATTACGTTTCGACCAGATGGTACGTATTTAATTTGAAATATGGTTTCGTCTATATTCGTTTGCGCGACGATCGTTCGTTCGAGTTCCTTCAGCACACGTTTCATGCAAAATTTACATTATTTTCGGATTATTTATAATAATAAATATATTACCACTCGCTCAACCTTTTAACTTATCATAACTTTAAATAATGTGTGTGTGTGTGTGTGTGTGTGTGTGTGTGCGTGTGCGTGTGTGTGTGAGTGTTTGTGAGAATTGCTTATCGGTGGTTAAGCGAAGCGGCATCATATTGTTTTACTTTAAAATCAAGAAATTGTAACGATTAACAATTGTAACAATGTGAATTTGCACGCACAAGGTAGTAACGAGACATTTGTCACAGCCTTACAATCTTTCAAAAATCTCGAAAGTAAGTTCTTGAAAAATGAAATGAAATGAAATGAAAGAATGAAAGAAAGTAATATAAGCTGTAATTAGCCACGTTTGCACTTAAACTTAAACATTGAGAATGTTTGAAAATGCGCAAAAATCTTCCCTACGTACGAGTCCAAAAACTCTATTAAAAAAATTTTATTGTAAGATATCGATCTTTAAGCTCGATCGGTATTGCAATTTCGGCATCGTTTCCATGAAGTGCAAAGATGCTCCCTTCCTGTTCGTCAGCAATGCCGGTCGCCATGACTTTCGCATTTAAACTTCGGCCCAAGATTACGAGATAAAAGGTAATCGAATCGACTCCTAGGTACAGAGCCCCCGAAGTGCTCCTCCACTCGACCAACTATAACAGTCCGATCGATATATGGGCGGTGGGCTGCATAATGGCGGAGCTATACACATTCCGACCCCTCTTCCCGGGCAAGAGCGAGATCGACGAGATCTTTAAGATCTGCTCGGTGATCGGGACACCGGAGAAGGGCGACTGGCCCGAGGGCTATCAACTCGCAATGGCCATGAACTTCCGATTTCCGACCATCAGCAGGACATCCCTCGGCGTGCTCATACCCAATGCCGGCCAGGACGCGGTCCTGCTAATGGAGGACATGCTGCAGTGGAATCCAGCGAAAAGGCCGACCGCACAGCAGTCCCTCAGGTAGATGTCGCGATCGATCCTCGTGCTTAACCCTTCCGTTCTTGGCCTCGACGTCCCCACGCCACGTCACGACTCCACACCGAACTTTACGTTCTCGCACCAACAAGACAGCCCCATCGCATTGTCACACGGAATAACCGCCTTAATGGACTATTTTAATGAACGCGGTCGTCGAGTAAGCACGAACGTGACCTAATTCTTCTCCGGATTCATAAAATCTATGGTAGGTTCGTCGATCGGTATTAACGCGTATTAGGTGGAGCGGGAAAGTACTACTGTACGTCATTTGGCTGTCGAGTAATTTGGCGCGTAACGAAGTGAAGGAGGCAATGGGCGGAAAATCGGGCAAACGAGACAGCTCAGTCGAAAATATTTATTCCGTTGCAAGTGTGTTGAAAATAACAAAAAAAAAAGAAATAAAAATAAATAATAAAAAATAATAAATAAAAATAAATAAATAAAAAAATAAATAAAAAAAAAGAAAATAAAAAAAAAATATAAAAAAAAAAAAAGTAAAAAAACATTGTACCTTTGCATCTTCGTACATCGCGTCTCGCTCTCCTTCCACCCCACCCCCGTCTCATTCACCTTGATATATTATTTTATTGCCAACCTCAATAATCCTCTTGGGTTCTCATGACGGTTGAGAAACGCCCCTATAGCTGTGTGTGCCTCGCCCCCCTCCCCCAACCCTCCCTTCCACGCCCCACCCACGAGGCCTCATTTCCCACAACCACTCTCGCCACACCCGCGACACTTCATTTTTATCTTTGTTTTGTTCTTTAACGAGGGAGAACGAATTCGTGTTCATTGTATTTACGTAGAATAGCTGCACGTAATGAAATAATTAGGCAGTCGTATTTAAAATGTCATTCGTTATTTTAATACGTAGGACCCGCATTCGACGTGATTGTAATTGCGAGGTAAGTCGATAATTCAAATCGTGATTTATTCTCTCACTCGGCGACTTAAATGGGCTTGGGTGGTGATGGGCGAGAAATTTATTAGCCGATGGTCGGTGCGTAGGAGGTCGGGCGACACTAAGCAAAATTGTAATTCAATAAAAGGGCGCACCAATTGCAGATACCAGTACTTCCAGATAAGCGGGCCACGTCTCGTGAATAGCAAAAAAATTGGCGTCAACTCGCATCGCGAGCTCGTCATTAACAAAGTGAACATACCGTCGCCCACAGCCCAGGACAGCGGTTTGCCGTATGCCAATGGGCACGAATCGAAGCCGGGGCACGAGATCCTCGGCTCGATCGTCCAGCAAACCAGGTTGGTAGCCAATGCTTTGACAATTCGCAACAGATTATTTCACGAGGTAATCTAGGCAAGGGATGAGGGAGAAGGTGGGATGGAGGGGGAGGGGTAGAGAGAAAGACATATCAAAGTCACAACTCGAACGCGGATCGTTGCATTTAATAATATCGCGAGTGTTGGATGTTCTTGTGGGCCGATGAGCCTAAAAGCTGATAAAGTCGTGCGAGTAAACACGGGCATGGGAGATGAAACGAATGGATTTGTCAAAGGGGCCGAAACGACGACGATGATAATCGTCATTGACGGTCATTGACCATTAATCGAATTAACGATCGATAGAAGAGGCCAACACTTTTGGGATTTTTTAATATTATCCTCGGCTCTGTACCGCCTTGAAAACGATATGAATCTTCTATCCAGCGTGTCGTTTCTCCCAACTCGTCCAAGCTCGCGTTTCTCCAACCCCAATGCACATTTCCAATATTTTTGCACGCGCCCACCCTACTACAACGATTTACTATTGGCGAGCTATCCTCTTCGATCCAAGGCCGTTCTTCGAGACTCGACTGCATAGAGCCTGTGAAATTAACAGAGTAGTGACAAAGTTGGGACGTTGTTTGTGAAATTTGGTTTGTTCACGTGGTAGCGGAATTCGATGGATAGGATTGCCTCGCTTGCCGAGTTTCCGAGCTCGAGGTTTGCTTTTAAGCGAGTGTATCTACCGTTTTCCTTCCAGATTTCCAGATAAAATGCAGAGGGTAACGATCCAGCCGGCCCCACAGCTCCAGCAGTCCGGACTTCCGTTCCTCAACCATAATAGTCGCAAGAGGGACAATAGCAACGCGATAAAGAAGCGGGAGGAGGATGAGATCGCCAGTGCCGTTTTGGGGTATGGGATTTCGTAATTTCTTTTTTACGTTTGCTTGCTCGCTTCTAGCCGTTGGTTATTGCCGAACGTTTTCAAAGATCCTGCTTCAATTATACAATTAACGGCTCTACTAGTGAACGTGGAAGCTATTATACAATGGCGTTTTTTATTATCGTTTTTAGTAAATCGTGATGAATTTTTTTTTTTTTTTTTTTTTTTTTTTTTTTTTTATACTTAAGCACACGGTCCTCCCTAAGTAGGCTGTTTTGTTCTCGTGATTTTGTAATGGAAAGCGAGCGGAAACGTTATTGCCTTAAATAGAGGATTTGGCAGTTTAAAATAAAACCATATTGATCTCATACTTAGTGGATTGAATCCTTCATTTCGTATTCAAACTTAGATGCTTCTTTCGTAAACAGGACGAGAACGAACGTCGATCACGAATTCTTCGAGCCGTGACGCAGAAATGTCGTGTTTTTGCCATCGTTTATTGTCCATCAACCTTAACGTTTATTTGTTGTTGCTTTTGTCCTCCTCCTCCCCCCCCCCCGGCCCCCCGCTTTTGCCATACCATTAGCAGTGCAACCGTCAAAGATAACAGTATTCCGAAATAAATTGATTCCTCGATTCTTAAACCACACACGACAGAGCTCGAAGATTCCAATGATTCTACTTCACCTCTTAATGTTGTGTAAACTTGTGTGCTGCATGCCGTTATACAAAACCTGTTGTAATTATTTTAATGCATGTGCGCTAGTATTGGCTGAGCTATTAGTTGAAAAGTCTGGGCTGCATTAGCTTCCAAATAATTGCGATTGCGCTTGAAATTGTCGACGAAAGGACGTCGGCATGGCGAGTGGCGGAATGTTTCGACTGCGGGGAAAAAACAAAAAACAAAAACAAAAAAAAGTACCTGAAAACCCTTCCCCGCAGAAATATTTTCAACACCAACGAGAGCAAATCCCGTCTGTTACCGGATCGCATCTACAAGGAGAACCGGGTGAATTGGAACGGCAATTACCTGGTGAATCAGGTGACGGAGGTGTCGATACCGAAGCAGGCCAGCCCCAATTGGCCATCCTGGTACGAGCAGCAGATGCACGCGAATCGCTCCTGGAGCAACAACAGCTGCCTCTTGAGCAACGGCCTGTCGAATCACCGTCCGCTCGGCAACGGTCGGCGCATATCGGCCAAACTTCCCGCCCGCTACGTCATCGCCCAGTCGCCCAGCCAACTGCCATCTAGGTATTCGTCCACTTTTCAATATTATCGTCGACCATCTACAGAGACAGACGAGGCTCGACGGCTTTAGCTAGTGCCCGCAGACTTTTTAACACCTTCGCAAAGCTCCCTCTGGCCCCGCCGTTTTAGTTGAGAATATCGACTATCGAGTAGCGATGCGATGCAATATCTAGCGTAACATCCATCATCCTTGTCATAATTATATTCGTAAAAGAGAGTGCGATTGTGCATTGTCACGCATTGATATTTGTACTGGATTTTATTAATTTTAATTGAGCAAGTTAGTTGATCTCGTTAGATGATATACGTAGTGCTGGAGAAAACGTTTTCTTAGCTCCGTACATGGAGTTAGGGTATGAAAAGCTATAAAGTAGATTAGTTGATCGAGGTCGATTGCTTTTAAAAAGCTTTCGATATGATAAGTGAAAACTGAATTCGATTTACTAAGTAACGCAAAGGAATAATGTACTTTCGATAATACTCGATTAAGCATAAAGAGTCGATTTAAATAACGAGAGAGCAGGCTTTATCTAGAATCCCAACAGGTCGAATTAATTACATAATAAATATTATGTGAAGATGATACGTAGGTGTAAGAATAAATGTATAGTTATTTGCAGGTGTAAGCATATTTGCCAAATGCACTTACAAAGCACACGGTTGACAATAGTAGATTTTCAGATTTTTAAAAATTGTGTAATATATTACGTTGCGACGTGATCAAATGATTAAAAATAACACAAAAAAAAAAACAAAAAGTTTTTTTTCTAAAATTTTTCTATTATATTTTTCTTCTTCCTTTGTTTTCACGTTCTTTTTTTCACCTTCAAATCTTTTCTACATGATATATTTCCATATTTTTCGTGCGTGCGTGCGTCAGATAAAAATGTAAATAAATGTTAAGAATTATGATTGTTACCTAGATCGAATGACGTACAAATTGTTAAACTATAATTCATACACAATTTTCGAAAAGCAACTGTTTCATCGAAAGAGTCAAATTATCAAATTATCAAATCATTTTTTCAAGTAGCAGTGCTTGCAATACTTGCCGCATTTATAAAAAAAAAAAAAAAAAAAAAAAAAAAAAAAAAAAAAAAATTCAGTAGTACTGAAACGAAAAATTAACACGGTCCGACAACGAGCGCCTAAGTCTTAATTTAACGAGCTGTAAATATTCGAATCGAAGTGAATATCGAGCGCCATGTTTTTTTTCTAATAAATAGATAGAATGAATGAAAAAAACCAAATGCGAAATTCTCAACAGTACAAGAGACAAAAGAGATTCCGTGAGGATGCGCGTGCTGCGCTTCGTATTCCTGACAATTTGCACGTTTTCCCTAATCGCCCTCACCTCACGGACGAACACATGGTCCTCCCGCATCTCCTTCCTCAGCAATAACGATATCAAGGACTCGTCGCATCTCGTGGATTCTCTGCTGGAGCTCTTCAACACCAAAGTCAACAATCTATTTGAGCTATTCCACTCCCTTGCGATGCTCGTCCTGCTTATCATCGACTACATCTTGCGATTAACGTGGACATTATTATCATACGCTTTCGGCTCTCGCGTCGACTCCATCTTCATAGCGAATTATCTGCAAGTGCAGGAGAATAATGCCAATATCCCTATAAATAACAATTATATAGCATACGGGCAAATACACGACTACGGCGTCATTCAGCTAGTGGTTACTTTTCAAAATCTCCTAATCGTTTACCTGGCCATATCAGGAATTATATTGATTAACAAATTGGATTTTGCCGAATCGAACGACCGCGCCAAATTCACGAAATACTGGTCTCTTATGACAATCCTGTTTATAATACTTTTACTTTTCGTGATAAATTATTGCTAACTTAATATCGCATTTATCAATTACGCCGGAGTTTGTGCATTTCTATCGTGCATTTATCTGTCTGAATTATTAAATTAATTAATAAACACGTATGCTCAAATACATCATACAACGTATGATTGTCGTGTATGTATTATTAAATCTGGACTTTGGTAGAAATTTATTTACGTCCATGATTACGTCCATGAGGCAAACAAAATATTCTTTTCAATGTTAAACGTGAACGATTTATTGATTATATTTGTTCGAAAGACTGACGAAGAAATTGTCAAATCAATATACGCGCATAAATACTTATTTTACTTGATTTCTTCAAAGCTCTTATTAATCGTATAATTCATTTTGAACGTCGAGAAGATGTAATAACGAATTTTTATTTAACGCAAACAAATTTCTCCGAGAAATTGTATTACGTTTCACGATAAATTTATATTAAAATTACACATACGATACATTTTCACTTATCTTCGAGTATTCTTTACTTACGAATCTCCAATTAATCAATTTTTAAAGTCTAAAATTTTTATAATTTTAAAGCATTATACTACGCTTTTAAATTTTACATGGCTTGTTATATTTTTCTTTTTGTAATTTCAATTTTTTATTTTTTTTTTTTTTTTTTTTTTTTTTTTTTTTTTTTGTAATGTAATTTCATTTTACAATTAATATTTTGCTGCAGCAAAGCCGTCCTTTCAGTCACCATGTGCTCTTTATCACTTTTAACTTTCTCCGATGTAAAAAAATTTAACGATATTCCCAGTATGAAAATGTAATTTTTCATAATGCGCATTCGCATAATGAATTATGATAAATATTGTATAAAAAAAATTCATGGTTTGTATGAAAGGATTCTTGTAAAAAATTAAAAATGCTATATAACCTTATATGAGAACGTTGTTAAAATTGTCAAAAATTATTGGAAAAAGCAGATGATTAAATATTGATGAATTATTGACAATTATTGACGTTGAGTTTAGAAAAATTTAATAGGTAATTAATTGCAAGAGGGAAAAAAAAAATTAATGACTCAAGATTGAATTGAATTTTCAAAAAAAAAAACAAAAAAAAAAATCCAGTAGTATTGAAACGAACTATTTATATTACTAAAGATTATCTGTATACTTCAAAACAACAAAATAATAAACATAAATAATGTTTTTGTAAATTTTCTGTCGAAAGAAGTTTTGACAGTGTGCTTTAATTATATTATATAAATATTAATCTTATTGGCTCATTGGTGATAATAAGGTTACACAAAAATCAAATAAAAAACAATATTCGCCATAACTTCAATTGTTATGATATTATTTATTTATTTTTAATGCTTCGTAAGATGGCTGTTAGTATATATTATATTTATATAAATCCTTACTTGAATAAATCAGTTATAATATATATGCTCTTATAAAGTAATTGTTCTTTTGAAATAAAATATGGTAAATTTACATTAAAGTATCTAATAAATAAGCAAAAAAAATATTCTAACTAAATAATGAAATACTTATAATTTCATTAAGTTAATTTAATTACATTTTATTTTATTGCAGGCTTAAAAATATTTTGAAGATAAAATATTGATTATGTTAAAGTTTCAAGAATTTGTATAATTTTCGTAAAATCTTCCGAACCAAAATGCATATTTACAACATAAAACAACGTTGATTTAGATAAAAATTTGGCAAGGAACCCACAACATTAATTACAATTAAAATTTTTTTAATTAGAGCGAAGATCTACCGTCGATTAATCAAGTACGTTTAATACTCAATACAATGCAGAAAGTACGTATTATTAGCAGTTGAAAGACTTTGGCTTTTGCGAAAAAGTCTAGTGAAGGATTCCAAGTCAACGAAAATATTCGACAAGTCTTTCCATATTCAGCTTTTTCAAAATTCTTACAGTGACATAATTATAAATGTTCCTCTGGCTCTAATCTATGAAAAATGTACGGCAATAATTATGTCTGTCAATGCGCAGGATGAATATGTTTAAAAAAAAAAATACACACACACACCTTTGAAATCTTTAAAAAAATTCGATTTTTAATGTAGCAATTACCTTACCTTCTCGATTTCTCACTCTCAAGCCAGTAGCGTAGCGTTTAGCAACTGCTCGAGGTCGTCAATATTGCTAACGGAAATGAGATTATAGTGACTGAAGATTAAACGTTTCAGAACCAATAGCGAATCGAGGTCTCGGGGTGGTCAAGCAGCGAATGGCGCAGCCGGCAAAACAAATCCTGGCGGGGAAGTCGAGAAAGTCGTCGACTCCCTCTGGACGAGCAAAAGCAAAGAGCAGCCAGACAACGAGACGCGTCAGCATTTCCTCCCGAGAAATCGCTACATCATCGAGCAAAACGCGAGGTTACCTTATCCGAGCGTTTACGGCACTCAAAGTATCAGTAAGCAGAATAGTTCATCGGTTTTTGCACGAGGTGAATGTTCGATAATTATTATGTTGATCGAGTAGAACGTTTACTCAACTTAACGGATTCCTAAAGCAATGTTAAACTGGCTTATAAGCGAACGAACCTTACCATTGCAATTCAGGTCAATCAAAACGGACGTCTATTTTATTGTATTTTATGAAAAAATTTTATGTAAAATCTCCCTCTAAGTAGTTTAGTTCGCCAACTACCTACACGTTACATGCTCACATAGTATTTGTTTGTCAATCATTTATGAGATTCAACCAGGTATTTATTTCTTATGTTTCAGAGCCTGGAAATAAATCGCTGCTTAATAGTATATTGAACACGCGAGCCAATGGTGGAATGCAGGTACGAGCCGATTGGCCATCCAAATACTTCAAGTGACCTGTCGATTCTCAATGATTGGATAATTAAAACGAAGAGAAAAGTTCGCTTGTTTCAACTGTGATAATCCAAAGCGATTGGCTTCGTACATAATGATTAAAGGAGTGAACTGAATGAATCAAAGTGAGTCATAACAATTGTATATAGAAAGTTACTTAAACTTTCGCACGTTTAATAAAAGGGCGTACAAACAAAATGCAATCGGACCGCTCAATCAAACTGTCATGCTGTGTTTATTGCAAGTCCAGTGGATTAATTTATATATTTTTTAAGGATTATAGCACATAAACCATTATATAATATATAAGATTAAAATCTTTGTATAACTTACTTGTATTTATTTCGAGGTATAATAAAAGCTATTTTAGGATTTTTTTTTTTTTATATATATATATATTTTTTTTTTATTGTATCACTCGTCGTTGATTAAAATATACCGAAATTAAAAATTTTCCGAATAAGTGAGTTGTCCGGCAAGTTATCTAGAATTAATGACAATTATCGAAAATTATTCACTATCTACGGTATTAATCGAACATTATGTCAAAAGTATTAAAAAAAGACGATGATTAACATTTGCGATGATCGATAAATGCAAAAATAAACAAAATTTTATTTTGCTATGTACATCACGTAGATCATCGTTGAATGAGAAAACTTTCCAAATTAATTTCAGAATTTGATTACTTAAGCCATATGACATTTATAAGGAATCTGTGATGCTTCGATATCTATGAATATAATTCTTAAATTTTTATTCTAATAAGTATGTGACCCAAAAAAAAAACTGTCCTTTTAAAACGGATATTTCGTTCGAAATATTACTTTACCATAAAAAAACTCGCAGCATTTTTGGTCCTTTAGAGTATATATATATATATATATATGAATACTTATTTTATTGAAAATCTAGATTTACATACTGATAATTGATATCAATAATTTCATCGTTATTCTCTATTGTATTTCTTAAGGCAAAGAAAATAAAACTATAAATATAGAATTATATATTTTTCAATTTTTTTACGAAATGCGCTTATCAATTTGAACATGTTTGTTTACAAAATTTCAAATTGTATAAGCGAATTTTCGGCTATATTAAAAAAAAGAAAAAACAAAAAAACAAAACAAAAAAACAAAACAAAAAAACAAAACAAAAAAACAAAAAAAAAAAACAAACCAATAACAGTATACGAATATAAATGTATAAAATAAGTAAATTATTTTATTACAATAAAATTAAAAGATACATACTTTTGTTATATGTAATTAAAATTTTTGTTTGATTAATTTAATCATCGTCGACGAGCAGATAATATTAATTTTTGCTGACAATTTGATAGAGAAATTGTATTTTGCTTGAAAGCAAAAATGTAATGTCATAAATATATGATTTTAATTTGCGTTTCCGAAACATATTTTATTAAGATGTGTTAAGACGATTAAGAAAATGCATTAAGAAAAAAAGAAAAATCCTCCCTCTTGTGGTTTTGAATTTTTTAATCATTTTATAAACAAACGTCTGTTATGAGAATTCGAGACGATAAACTTGTCTACATATTTAGCAAAAACAAAAACTAAATACAAAATACAATATACAAAATAAAAAAAAAAAACAAAAACAAAAAAAAAACAAAAAA